TTGGGTTGTGAACAGTATTTAGGTTGGTCGAGTTGTTGGATAATGGAAGTCCCATATCAACTAACTCGTCGTGAAAACAAAGTATTGGGTTGGGTTGTGAACAGTATTTAGGTTGGTCGAGTTGTTGGATAATGGAAGTCCCATATCAACTAACTCGTCGTGAAAACAGAGTATTGGGTTGGGTTGTGAACAGTATTTAGGTTGGTCGAGTTGTTGGATAATGGAAGTCCCATATCAACTAACTCGTCGTGAAAACAGAGTATTGGGTTGGGTTGTGAACAGTATTTAGGTTGGTCGAGTTGTTGGATAATGGAAGTCCCATATCAACTAACTCGTCGTGAAAATAGAGTATTGGGTTGGGTTGTGAACAGTATTTAGGTTGGTCGAGTTGTTGGATAATGGAAGTCCCATATCAATTAACTCGTCGTGAAAATAGAGTATTGGGTTGGGTTGTGAACAGTATTTAGGTTGTTCGAGTTGTTGGATAATGGAAGTCCCATATCAACTAACTCGTCGTGAAAACAAAGTATTGGGTTGGGTTGTGAACAGTATTTAGGTTGGTCGAGTTGTTGGATAATGGAAGTCCCATATCAACTAACTCGTCGTGAAAACAAAGTATTGGGTTGGGTTGTGAACAGTATTTAGGTTGGTCGAGTTGTTGGATAATGGAAGTCCCATATCAACTAACTCGTCGTGAAAACAAAGTATTGGGTTGGGTTGTGAACAGTATTTAGGTTGGTCGAGTTGTTGGATAATGGAAGTCCCATATCAACTAACTCGTCGTGAAAACAAAGTATTGGGTTGGGTTGTGAACAGTATTTAGGTTGGTCGAGTTGTTGGATAATGGAAGTCCCATATCAACTAACTCGTCGTGAAAACAAAGTATTGGGTTGGGTTGTGAACAGTATTTAGGTTGGTCGAGTTGTTGGATAATGGAAGTCCCATATCAACTAACTCGTCGTGAAAACAAAGTATTGGGTTGGGTTGTGAACAGTATTTAGGTTGGTCGAGTTGTTGGATAATGGAAGTCCCATATCAACTAACTCGTCGTGAAAACAAAGTATTGGGTTGGGTTGTGAACAGTATTTAGGTTGGTCGAGTTGTTGGATAATGGAAGTCCCATATCAACTAACTCGTCGTGAAAACAAAGTATTGGGTTGGGTTGTGAACAGTATTTAGGTTGGTCGAGTTGTTGGATAATGGAAGTCCCATATCAACTAACTCGTCGTGAAAACAAAGTATTGGGTTGGGTTGTGAACAGTATTTAGGTTGGTCGAGTTGTTGGATAATGGAAGTCCCATATCAACTAACTCGTCGTGAAAATAGAGTATTGGGTTGGGTTGTGAACAGTATTTAGGTTGGTCGAGTTGTTGGATAATGGAAGTCCCATATCAACTAACTCGTCGTGAAAACAGAGTATTGGGTTGGGTTGTGAACAGTATTTAGGTTGGTCGAGTTGTTGGATAATGGAAGTCCCATATCAACTAACTCGTCGTGAAAANTCGTCGTGAAAATAGAGTATTGGATTGGGTTGTGAACAGTATTTAGGTTGGTCGAGTTGTTGGATAATGGAAGTACCACCACCCGTTACAGCTAATTTAGGAAATAATCCTGGGTTTATAAGGAAGAAACGTGTTTGCCAACTAAGTAGGAAAAGAAAAGGTATTGATTTTGAGGAGGGAAGGTCGTTGAGACCTCCGCCCGATTTCGATGAGTTCGAGAACTTCTTTCTTCATACAAATCCTTTCATAGAAACTCACTCACCAGCAACCATTCTCCATTTCTTCCCTGTAAATTCCGTTCCACGATTCAATTCAATGGCTCATCTTCTCAACACCTCCTTCGTCGCCGTCTCCTCTCCATCTCTCCGCCGTGGGACATTTCTCCGACCGCCATTTCACCCCAGAAGGCGGTCTCTCCAAGTCCAGGCCAAGATCCGTGAGATTTTCATGCCTGCTCTCAGCTCCACCATGACCGAGGGTAAGATTGTGTCCTGGATCAAGACTGAGGGTGATAAGCTCGCCAAGGGTGAGAGTGTTGTCGTTGTCGAGTCTGATAAGGCTGATATGGACGTTGAGACCTTTTATGATGGCTATCTCGCTGCCATTATGGTCGATGAAGGAGGCGTTGCGCCTGTTGGATCTGCAATTGCGCTTTTGGCTGAGACTGAGGATGAGATTTCATTGGCTAAGTCCAGAGCTACCAATCCTTCTGCTGCTTCTGCTTCTGCTTCTCCAGCTTCGGAGAAGATTCCTGAGAATGTAGGTGCTGCGACGGCGGCGCCGGTTGCGGTGGCGAAGGCGGCTCCGGTGGTAGTGGCTTCCACTCACCCTGCATCTGAAGGGGGTAAGAGAATTGTAGCGTCTCCGTATGCTAAGAAGCTGGCTAAGGAGTTGAATGTGGAGCTGGCGACGGTGGTGGGAACTGGGCCGTTGGGGAGAATTGTTGCTAAGGATGTTGAAGCCGCGGCTTCTGCAGCTGTTTTGGTATCTGATGCTGCTAAGCCAGTTTCGGCTCCGGGCAGCAGCACGAAGCCCGCCCCATCCCTGGAGTTGGGAACCACTGTGCCGTTTACCACAATGCAAGGGGCGGTGAGTAGGAACATGGTTGAGAGTCTCGCAGTGCCCACTTTCAGAGTGGGGTATACCATTACAACAGATGCGCTTGATGC